GTGGATTCATGCAGAACATGCAGGGGTGAGTGAAATAGCTTGGGACTGCTTGGGACCGTTGTTCTGGTACTGAGTGAGCCAAAAATAATAATGATTTTCTTCGGGACCCAGTGGTCTTAGAGTTACCTCTATGGTTATATTCCATAAATGTTCGATACTGCTCCCAATCAGCTCTATGGTAATTGAAAGTAGAGCTGTTGGGATTACAAATTATTTCTTGGGATATTTCAAAAGTTACTGGAAGGTGATCAGAACCGAAGTCAGCATGGGTAACCAATTGGCTACAAAGTTGACATGAATCAGTTAAGACCAAATCAATAGTGGAGGGATTTCTTGCAGAAGAAAAGCATGTTGGGCTGTTTGGATATTGAATAGTGTAATAACCTGCAGAACAATCATCAAACAGAATATTAGCATTGGAATTGCTTTGAGCATTATTCCATGAGCGGTGTTTTGCATTAAAATCACCAATAATGAAGAATTTAGACCTATGACGGGTAAGTTTCTGGAGGTCACCCTTGAGAAAATTCTTTTGCTGGCCTACGCATTGGAATGGCAAATAGGCAGCTATAAACGTAAGTTGTCCAAATTTTGTTTCAACAGAAACTCCCAAAGTTTCAAAAACTTTGGTTTCAAATGAAGAAAGAATTTTATGTTTGATTCGTCTATGAATAATGATGGCAACGCCACCACAGGGTCCATCAAGACGATCATTTCTATAAATCAAGTAATTTGCGTCCTTCTTAACCTTATGGTCAGGTTTAAGGAACGTTTCAGTTATAACGGCAATATGCACGTTATGAACTCTCAAAAAGTTAAATAGCTCGTCTTCATTATCTTTAAGAGATCGAGCATTCCAATTTACAATATTTGATGCTTTAAAATTCATTACTGAATTTTAAAGTCATGACAATATTATTTGCAAATTTTACTCCAGTTTGAATAGCATCAAACATGGAGTTAGATTTAAGCATATCAGAAATCATGTCAATTAATGAATTCTGTAAAAATTCCATTTTGGGGGCAGTAATGCTTCCTTAGTCAAAATTGTCAAAATTTCCGTTAGAACGTTGGTTAGTATTTTGATTTCTACCCGCTGCAATAGCAGCATAGGTAGCTCCATTAACTCGCTGAACATTGTTAGCAGCGAGGGGAGTAGGTACAGATGAAACATTTGAAGCAGGGGTGATATTTGTACCTACGGGTACGAATGTGGAATTTGTTCCTCGCTGACCGTTGTTAACAGCAGAGGAATTTGTACCTGGTCGGAAACGTGGAGCGTTTCTTACCTGTCGGTTAGAACGAGATTGTAGGATCGCTTTGCGAGTCTTACATTTCCAAAAATTGGATTTGTGGTTTTCACCACAATTTGAACATTTAAATTTCTTAGGATCTTCCTTCACAGGACAGTCGTCCTTTGCGTGAGAGGAATCACCACAATTCATGCATTTAGCTGGCATGTAGCAATTTTTAGTTCCGTGACCCCATCCCTGGCACTTACGGCACTGAGTGAGGTTTTGGAAATTTCCTCCAGTCTTCCTGCAGTGTTCCCACTTCACTCGGACATGGAGCATAAGGCTAGCTTTTTCTAAGGCCTTAAGGTTGTTTAGTTCACTAGACTTGAAGTGAACTAAATAAAAATCATTAGAAATCCCGTTGCGTGAATCGCCAGGACGGGATTTCATTTTCATTTTGATTACTTGAAGTGGCACAACTCCAAGTAATTTTGCCAGTTCATCTTTGATCTGATCCAGGGATTCACCACTGGGCAGTCCTTTCATGACAACCTTGAACACACGTTCAGTTTTGGTGTCGTAAGTAAAAAATTTGTGCTTCTTCTCAGTAAGATACTTGAGAAGACATTTAAATCCGTCCAAGGTTTCAGCCAATACACGGCATTCACCCCGACGTCCAATTTGTAGTGAAAACTTAACTTTCACGAAATTCAAAAGTTCCATGCGAAGAGCATGGAAATCGGAAGTGGTCATCACAATAGGGGGAATCTTTTCCTTCTTGGCATTAAGCCGGGAAAGTTTACTAAAATTTTTCTTGGATGATGGATCATTCTCATCATCCGTGAGCAAATCAAATTGATTACTCAAATTAATTTCATCAGAAGGGGGGTCAAGAGTTTGCCCCTTTCTTTTGCGTTTAGGCGCCATGGCGGCAGTAAATGTTTATCCAAATCGACTTCCAAGCAGATTACTATAAGAATCTGAAGGATCGAAGAGGAATTTTCCAAATCGATATCCAAGAAGGATTACCTCGGGTAGGGTCCAAACAAGGATCGAAGAGGAATAAGAGTTGAACAAGGTAGAATTTTTTTTTACAGGTTGAGCACTGAAAAGTGCTGTTTAAATTTGTTGTAGCTTTAGGTAGTAGTAACACTTCCTTCAGCAAAAAGCAAGAGAGCACGATGCGGACTGAATCTCTGAGATGCTCAAAAACTTGATCCACCGACAAACCGACATGACACTTAATTCTAACTTATGCCCAAAAATCGTAAACGCCCGATTTAAATGTACAGTGATCCGAACTGTCAAAACTATAGGAATTTTTGATCTAGATAAAAATAATTTGTACAGAATAGATAAGACACTAACCAATTCATAACTTTTACATGCGGGTTCATGGCTTAGCTAAATATTTCCTGCGAACACGGAGCCAGATGTAGTGTGCTTTGGTCAGAAATTTTATTGTTTTTGCTATGGTCATTCATGTCGGTTTGTCGGTGCTTGATCTACAGTTAAAAAAATTAATTCTATATAGTTTTCGTAAGGAGACCACCGACAAACCGACATGAAACTTAAACTTAACTCTTGATCGAGAATCCACAACAGTCGATTCAAATATGCACCGATCCCATCTGTCAAAGCCATAGAAATGTTTTATCTAGATAAAAATAATTTGTCCGAAATAGATTAGACACGAACCAACTCATAAATTTTGTACGCGTGTTCGTGGATAGGATACATATTTTCCGCGAACACGGCGGCAGATGTCAGTTTTGTGCTTTGATCAGAAATTTCTTTGTAATTTGTATGATCATTCATGTCGGTTTGTCGGTGAGGACCCAACAAACAATTTAGAGTATGGAGGCGAACCAGCCCAAGGCTGAAAGCCTCCCTAATAAAGATAAATAATAATACAATTTAGAGCCACAAATATATATAATGAATAAATGCTGTATTACAGTGTACAATGCTGAATAATACGAGTTGTCGAATTAAGTGCTGAAAAAAGCTCATTGAGATTGATAAATGCACATTTATTCCACTGTTTGCTCTGATCTGATTAATTTACTTCTTAAAAGCTGTATAATCATTTGGGTCTATTTTGGATTTGAATTAACTGATTTGAAAACGGGTTTCACTCACATTCCTACTATTCCTTATATTTTAAAACAAAAAAAAAAATACGAAACGAACTATTCGCCGCGATTTCGAAAGAATTTTCTAACTGTTCCCTTAATACGACCTATCAAGCGGCGCACAACGGTCTTGTCCACTGTTTTCGGCGATTTAATCCCAACAATTTTTCATCTGAGCTGCCGTTTTGATGACTGTACCACTGTACCTTTTACCTTTAATTTCCTCTTCCTAATTGCCCAGTAGTTTTCAATGGGCCTGAACTGGGGAAAATTGGGCGGATTGATGGTTTTCGGAACAAACTGGTCTCCGTTGTCATTGTACCATTGTTGTACTTCGCGGCTGTAGTGACAGCTCGCAAGATCCGGTCAAAATGTCACCGGACCACCACCGAGTTGATCATTTTCTCAGTGTCTTCTAGCTGCAGCTGAAAATTCCCTGCCAGATCATATATTATCATGCGAATTTATCCGAAAAACAAATTTGAATCTGCCAGGGACACCTCCTCCAGCCTTCGCCTTGTAAAATGTTGGTCCTGGAAGCTGTCCGAAGTCGGCCTTTACATAGGTTTAAGTTTGCACCCACCGGACTTGGTCAGCAGGTTGTCATGCAGCTTTCGAACATTGGTTCTAACTACGGTATTCTGCTTGCGTGATCGATTTGGTTGCCTACTGGCGCGGTATGCCTGTAAGCCTTCGCAGTAGCGAATTCGCTGCACTGTACGGCGGCATCATACTTTTTACTCAAATCGCGATCGGACATACCTGGGTTGCTTCTGATGGACCTCACGACCTTTCCATGGAGCTTACAGTTGGCAGTTTCACCCCGACGTTACTTTACGTTTTGAGCACGCGCCATGCGGTGTTCCTAGGAAAATTCAACATTTTAGCCAGGATTTTCCAGGTGACTGCGCATGATTTTTTTCTACCCTCAAGGTGACTGTGTCCAGAAGTTGTTCCAATCGAACCATCAAAATGCACTGCTTTGCTCGATTGGAACAACTTTTTTCAGTTTTGTGGTGACAGTCGTCCATACTTTTACTAGAGTGCTCGACAGTTCGGACCAAACCGTCATCGCCCGGATAAACGGCTGTGATTCACAGCCGTTTATCCGGGAGATGACGGTTTGGTCCGAACTGTCGAGCACTCTAGTAAAAGCTGTGATGCCGCCCAACTTCCAGTTGAGTGGGGGTTGGTTTCGGTCGTGGAGCAGAACAACCATGTTCTCATGGATGTTCGGCATAGTTCGTAGATTCATCTTCCTGGGTTGCTGAGTGTTCAGGTAGTCACAGCTCAAAGCGCGCCAGTTAGACCCGTTGTCTGGACGCCTCTTCCAAAGATGGCTCGGGTATGGCACTGAGAGGGCGTCCGATTAGCTTCCGAAAACTTCCACTAGGAGCGCTTTAATAAGCAAAATAGTTTGTTCCATTACTAAGTGGGCCATGGTTTAGCCCAAAAATCATGTAATCTCCAAATAAAATCTTAGTCTAAGAACAAAAAACAAAACCTTTCTGAATTACAAGAAAATAAGAGAAGGGTTTGAATATCAAGCGTGTCCAGTGTCCCCTATAGACCTCCAGCAGACCAACAATGGAAATTTTCGGATCCAGATTCCCACTTTCAAAAAATCCAGTTCTCAGTTTTCAACCAATTTATTCAGCTTTTTCCTCTTTTTCTTATACTTCTAAAAAGTAATTCAATTTGAATTAAACAGAGAAAAAACTTATATACACGCGCGCACATCATCATACACCATAAATCATGATTTTCTCCATTCAGTCGCAATCACAAAGAGCAGTTAGTAATGTAGTACAAATGTAGTGTGTTTATGTCCTCCTCTTCATACGCGGAGATTCGCGCGACCTGTTTGCTTAAACAGCTCTCATTATTTTCTCTTTAAAACGATATTATTCAGACTTATCAAGTTATTCATTTGTAGCTAAACGGTCGAATTTGCTCTCAATTCTCTTGTGTAGGTGTGTGTGTCTGTTGGTCATAATTTACTTTTTTTTTGTCGCACGCTAACCAAAAGAAAACCGTTGCTGACTTGTCTTACAACGAAAAAAAAAAAACAAAAATTCAGGTGACTATTTGAACATAGTCATTACCGTTGTGTAGCACAACAAACGAATTTAGAAGGTAGACGAAAGTAGGTCATTGTTAAACAACGCTTGGATGCGAGAAAAGATTGAATAAGTTAAGATGATGACGTCCTAAATGCACATCCTGAGAGAGAGAGAGAAGCTCTCGGCCTGCCCCACTGTAGTTTACAGTTCGTCGTGTCCGTCGTCTTCGACCTCGGTGGCTTCTGCGACGGTGTTTTCGTCATCTTCCTCATCATCCAGATCCTCATCGTCCTTGGCGTCTTCGGCAGCCTTGGCTTCCTCTTCGGCCTTCTTGCGTTCCTCGGCTTCCTGACCCTCCTTCACCTTTTTCTCGCCCTCCTGGGTTTCCTTGAAGGTGGCGGCAGCCTTCTGGGCCGCTTCGACATCGTTGGTGATCATGAAGTTGTCGAAGATAGTACCGGACTTGACTTGCCACAGGTCCAGACCGACGGTGCAAACCTCCTCGCGCAGGTACAGGTTCTTGTCCTCGACGTACTCTGGGTTGTCGATTTCCGGATGCACCCACACTCCCTTGTAGTTCGGGTTGTCGATCTGCTTCGCCTTCCATTCGCCCTTGTACTCTGGGTTGTCGATCATTGGTGGTTCCCATTCGCCGTCCATCTCATCGTCCCAATCGTCAGGCTTGGTGGCATCCGGATCCGGAATGTGCTCCGATTTGTCCCAGTCCTCTGGCTTGGTATCATCCGGATCGGCAATGGTGGCACGGTCGTCCCAGTCTTCCGGCTTCTTCGCTTCCGGATCCTTGATCTTCTTGGGGGGCAGGAAATCCCAGTCGTCCTCCAGCGAGCCAGATTCGACCTTCTCGTTGTCGATCAGCACTTCGTAGGTGTTGTCCGACTTCACCACCAGGGTGTAGAAGTGAGTGTAGACGTCATCCTTGCAGCGGATGTCCTTGTTGATCAGGTGGTTCTTGCCCTTGTAGCTGAAGATGACGTGCACCTTCTTGGTTCCGGGACCGCAGATGTCCGGGCCGAACATCACCAGGTACGGCGATTCTCCGTGCAGATCCTTCTGGTCGATGCTGCAGTCGAAGACCTTCAGGTAGCCGCCACCGCAGTCGATGTTCTGCTCGTGCTTGACGGAGAACTGGATCACCAGGGTGTCGTCCTTGTTGGAGAAGGGCGTGAACTTGGCCGACATGGCGTAGAAGCGGGCATCCTGCGAGGTTTGGAGACCTATTTGAGGAGGAAAGCAGACGACGGTTAGTGTCGGGGTTTGGCAAGCGGGATTGTTGCAAATAGTAGGTGCAAGTCGGTTCATGCATATGTAACGGAGTTGTGGGATTAAGTTTTGAGGTTAGCTTGTTTTCAAACAGTCACAGTTTAGAGATTTCAAGGAGGGACTTTGGATGTTAATCTATATCAAAGGGATTTCTCGCGTCACTTTTCATTAGGTCCAATAGGGTTATTCCGAGAGTCGAAGTGACTTTTGTCACTAGTGAAGTGAAAATAGTCACGTCGTGGTGACGTGACTCTCCATTTGATTTGCACAGAGAGTCACGTCACCATGACGTGACTGTTCTCACTTCACTAGTGACAAAAGTCACTTCGACTCTCGGAATAACCCCCCTATCTACATTGATCGATTCTCTTCATCGACTTTCTATTTGGATCGCCACGGCCATGTTATATTTGCGGATATTTTCGACACACAGTGCGATGGAAGAAGCAAAAATCTAGAATCTAATAGGGGAAAAGTTGGCTTCGGCAATACCTTAACCTATTAACGTCAGGGGGTAAACAACGTCATTGAGAGCTCAATTTTCGCATGTGGATACATTGTGTTTCAGAGCAACTATTGACCAAATTTGAGTGCTCTAGGACTTTGTTTACCCCCCCCCCCCCCCCCCCCCCCTGACGATAATAGGTTAAGGTATTGCCGAAGTCAACATTCCCCCTACGACAAAGACTACAGTAGACGTTTTTTCTAGCCGAGGTCTAGAGTCCATGGATCAATGTAGATTGGTCTATTTGAAAAGTGAGGCGAGATTTCTAGAACTGTTGACTGCACTGTCCTCTGTTTACAACTAATGAACAACAGTTTATGCGTAATTTCCAACAGATGTCACCACACATAACAGTAGTGACATCTGATGGCCACAACACGCAGAACCCATTTGCAGGCTATATTTCATTAACCCACCACTATTATGGATGATAAAGGTCTTTCGGAGGACTCATTAAGGCTGTGAACCATTTGCCGAGTTAAATTTAACTCGTGGTTAAAAGTGACATTGTGCTGGCGATCGACCGGTTTTCGAGAAGAACTTAGCCAAGGTTGTCAAAATTTAACTTCTTGTCTGTCAAAAATAAATCGATAACTTTCCATCTGTCAAATTTTAACCAAATGTTAAAATAATCCACCAAATGGTTCAGAGCCTAAAACGTTACGATGTAACCCATATAGACCTGAAGCAAGACTATTCTGTCTGACCTACAAAGTAAACTGTAACGTTGCTGCGCGTCAAAGAATCTTGTGTACACTCAAAATTTGATTAGGATGTCACGCATTTCGGTAAAAACTGGGCTTACTTTACTGAAAACTAAGTTTAAGTATTTCTCATAATATTGAGCATACCTTAGTCAATTTTGAGTACTGTTTACTCAATTTTAAATGCTGAGCCCTATTCTGCGCCGCGAGTAAGGTGAGATGACTCGCTGTCACTAGTGAGGTGGCTCTCCATTTGATTTGCACGGAGAGTCATCTCACGAGCGGTGCCTTTTGTAACCTCACCTCACTCGCGGCGCAGAATAAGGGGGACCTAACCTCAATCTACCTGTTCAACAATTCTCAAAACGTAAACAAATAAAACAGTATTGGTGCCAATTAATACAACTCAGTGAAACTTAGAAGACCCTGTGCCTTTTGAAATTGATTAGAATGTAAAGATTTACACGGCGAATGAGAACGACCCAAATTTGAGTTTAGTTCACTCATAATCGCCAAAAGTGCAGTAACTCAGCGATGAGTAAAATTTGTCTCATGTTTTCCCAGGATTGTCCAGGGAAAAATTCCCGCATTTGAGAAAAGTTAAGATTGGATTCACTCAGTCTATTGGTACTACTCCGAGACTGAATAAAATTTTCGTCAATTTCCTCATTTTCTGGCAGATTTTTTAGGTTTTCCACAGGAAGAGACAAATTTACTCATCGCTGAGTTCCTGCGCTTTTGGCGATTATGAGTGAACTTAACCCAAATTTGGGTCATTCTCATTCGCCGTGTGAATAACGTTTTCAAAGTTCAGTGTCAACATACCAAAGGGGCGTAATTGCTTTTGTAAACAATGGCTTTAACCGTCGATTTCTCGCGAATAAAAGCTCACACATGAAAATCAATGACTTCAACAGGTAGAGGAATGTATTCTCTACCAGCTGGAATTGTTAATTTGGAGGGGTGAGCCATTGTTTACAAAAGCAATTACGCTCCTTTGAAATGTTGACACTGAGTTGTTGAACAGGTAAAAAGTGAGGTTACGCTACGCCACTGCTGTCTATTGATTATACTAGTTCAATTCAAGCCAGTCTGTTGGATTTTAAATGGATCACAAACATCGTCATTATTGTCCTAATGACAGCAGTGTCCAAATTGTTTATAATCACTGAATAAACGACATTCCATCCACATCCAATTGAATCGATCGGAATCAGCAGTTAGTAACGGTAGCCCAACTGCCTCAGCATGATTCCTATTAAAAATAATATCGCAAACTGCTGACTCGTGACACACTTTTTCTCCTAAATTGTAAACCACTGAACAGTAGCCAATGTTTGACCGACCACAATAATAGCCATTCGGATTGTGTCATATTAATGTAATCGAACAAGCCGGTTCCGATGTTCTTCTGTAGGGTAATTATCATTAAAGCAGAGTTGATTGCTCTGCATGTCTGCATACACACGAGGCTTCCAACTAATTATTGCTGTAGCCTTTTGTTGATTGAGTAATCGAACTTTCTAGACTCTACCCGATTGGTAATAGCAAACGAGACAACACACACACACACACACGCACACACTCAGCTAGATAAGATATACGTGGGGGTCAGACCGGCCGCCGCACGGTTTACTGGGATCGAACCGAAGACCACAGAGAGACACGTCATGTGTTTGAATCGTAGCACTCGGGGATAACAAGCAGGGTGTGGTATGTGATAGCAGGCATAGTGTCCCGTGGATTTTCTCTGCGTGCTTCTCCTACTGCAAATTTGCACGGAAGTGTATGTGTGTTACGGCGTGGATTATTAGCTTTGCCAGGTTGGCGAAGAATGTTCTGATCGCCTGGGGGGAAAAACTATGAAAGAACATTGCGATGAAAACGTTCTACGTGGCACAGAGAAAAGCCATTCTGAGATGTGGGGAAATCAACTTAGTTTGAAAACATGCATACGGATATAGAACCACCATGCACAGACATCGTGCGGTGTGGAAGGAAAGTGTATCACTACCACTTGTTCATGGTGGAGCCAAGTGTGATAGATAGAGACATAGACGATGACGATTGCAAACTGCGAACGAGGCATAATTAATGGGAACCGCGCTGAATACCGGTTCCTCATTATGCAATTTCTTCTTGATGCTGCTGCTGCTGCTGGAAGATGATCTTACTCAGCCACGTTGACTCTCTGATGCAAATCAGAACATCAACGAGGACGCAATTTTCAGTTGACCTAGTAACGGTACCTCGCACTGTCACTCAATTCCCACTTGACTCAAAGTGACACGTAGGTGCCAATCAGAGAACAAACCCCGTTAGATATGCATGAATTTTTCTGGAAATTTCTTATAAAATAGACAGTTCATTCACCTTTGTCGTTTTCTTCGTCGTTGAAGAACTTTCCGGCAGTTAGGACGAATTTTCCGAACTCGACTCCTTTGTGTTCACTCTGAACCCAGTTCTTTTCCCACGAGTCTGAAAATAGAAAAAGCAGAAAGGCGAGATGTTTTTATTAATCACTCACTCGACTTTAGCCAACGGTCCCAGTGACCCGGAAAAAGCTAACTTTAGATCAAACTCGGGGAAATCCAAGCAGGCCCCCTTTCTGACTTACCGTCTTTGAAGCCTTCCTCGAAGTAGACTTCGGCCGCTACCAGAGCAACCACCGATAGGACGGCCAAAACCTTGCCGACAGTACGCATCCTTGGATCGGATCACTAATGTACGTTTTTCACACAAATTTCAAAACCGAGATCAGAATCGACCCCTCACCCCGCACAACACTCCACTATATAGAGGTAGGACTAGAGAACGTGTGGTCCGTTCTGGTTGAACTTCCGACTACTAATGATTGGGTCGGGTTCGGTGCGGCCGCTTGATTATGTATGCCGGCGACGGTGCGCTTGCGCGTCACGGTTTCGAACTTGGCTTGGTTCACCTCAGCGATGGTGCTGCCACGTAGGGGTGCATTAGGGGAAGCAGCGCGGCAAAAGCTATAACCGACATTTATTTTGTACGACCGTCTCGCTTGCTCCCGTGCGAATGTGAAACGGAAGACTGCGGACGTAGCGCGTTTCTCAAAATGGATGGGTCGCTGGGCTGGTCGATGGATTGGGTTCCATTGTCGGCGGGTTTGGGAAGTTAATGCAATTAATGTTTCATCAATAATATATTTCCAGCTTAAGGCTTAAAACGTAGATTACTGTAATCTTTTGCGTTTATTTGTTTATTAATTACTGATTAAAATAAGGTAAACCAGGGCAAGTTTTTTTCAAAATTGAACTTTGAGGTTCTCTGGAAAAATAGTAAAGGAAGATAATTCAGATGATTTTAACAGGAATAGTTTCGTAAAAGCGCACCTACTTTCATATGTGAAAAACTACGGACATTGGTAATGAAAAATCGAGTCAGTATGTCCCATTAAGCAAAGTAATATGCATATCAGTCTCATCCTGAAATTTAGTCGCCCAGAGGAGAAGTTACAGTTCTGTTCTTGGACTTGCCATATTTTTCACTGATATAACAAAACATGCAAGCTTTATGGCTACTTAATTTTACTTTTTAATCGTCCGTTTGTGAGTAATCCGTCCAAGCGCACATCAGCCTTCCCTCGTTCGAAACAAGTTTTCTCGACTTGCCTTAAAAGCACCCCGTACAGAAAGTTCTGCCTGAGTCACGCACATTGGACTGCCTTTCACCCTATGCTTGTTTACGCCCGACAGATGGCCGGCTGTGATTGGTACGCGTCGCACCAATCAGAGGGTTACACTTTTCAACGGGCGCCCGGTTCCATGTTCGAAGCCGTGCCAACGTGGGGTGGCGCTCTGAGCACGAAAAAGCGACTGCATAATGCTGGTGCAGGGATTCCCAATCGGGGCGGGTATACGGCCCTCCAGAAAAAGGCGCATCAGAAACCCAGCCGTATACGAGGCCGTATAGGAAAATTATTTCGTAACTTTCAATTAATGCTACAAATGAGTATAGACTTTAGCTGATATTCGTTCCTATTCCCATTAATTCGTGGGATCGGATCTTGCAATTAAATTTTATTTGTTTATCAAAATTTGACAAAATTTAACTTTTTGTCGGTCAGAAATAACCACTCTCCGATAGCAGGGTTATTCAATAACTTTCCATCTGTCAAATTTTAACCAAAAGTTTAAAAAATCCACCAAATGGTTCAGAGCCTTAAACGCTTTCCAGACTGGAGAGTTATAACATGTTATAACGGTTGTCAACTAATTGCAACACAGAAACCACCATCAAGATAGCGCTATAACCAGGGGGTAAGTCACTCTACCACCTTGTGTCTGTGCTTAGAGTCGGTGTATAATGAGTCACGCCAAGAGTGAAGCCAAGTCTACCTATTGAACTGTCAAACCGGCTACCTATCGTGCAAAGTAAACAAGCATTACGATGCTACGAAAGGTCCACGAAAGGTATTGCAATTAAATATAAAATATAATCGAAGAAATGATCATATACACGCAGTGAGCATTACATTTGTCATGCGATACGTTTTGTAATGATCAGTAATGACAATTTCTACTATTTTTCTTTAAGATAATTCGACAAAATCACTGATATAATGATTTACTACAGCCGTTAATTTTTTTCCTCGCTAGAAGTCATTTGAAGTTGATGCAGAAGTCCTCTGTTGCCAAGTTAAAAGAAAGGGAATCTTTCGAAAACCGTGATGCGAGTTCAACTGTTTTTCTCTTGGCGTGACTCATTATACACCGACTCTATCTGTGCTTATTGTGTTTCATGTGTGTTGTTGGGTGTCGAAAGATGTTTCTTCATCAACCGAAAAAATAAATTTATTGGCAACCATATCCTTCCTGACGTTTATATCACGCACACTTGAGTAATCGCATTTTCAAGTGCGAAGTTTGTTATTCTCACTTTCGCTCCAGCCGCTCCAGCCTAAAAGATTGGTTTGTTTTGTCATCCTCACTTTCAAACCATCAATACTTGCACATATAGAATAGACAATAATCATATTCTTGTTTTCGTTCGAGCCGTATTTTCCATACAAAAAAAAAAGTTTTTTTGTATGGAAAATATGGTTCGAACGAAAACAAGAATATGGGTGAATATAACGCTGAAAATGACAGATTCCCCTACAACTCTACCGATGTTTTTTTTTAATGAAAAAGCACAACCAGCCAGCGGCAGGATTTTTTGGAGCTAATTCGACTGCAGCCGATGGGCTTGTTCTAGACGATCCAATATTCGTACCACTGGGATCGGCTTCCGTTGCACCACCACCTCCACCGAAGCATATCATTTATAGCGTTTCGTGGGTCAACCAAGATTAAGATTTAGGAAGCTACATCCTCGGCTTATTGCAAAGCCGTACCTACCGACAAAACATTGTTGACTTTTCTAACCAATTTAAATTGAATATGGAAGCCTAATAAAGCGGGGAGTAACTGGAAGATTTTTTTCATTAACTGTTCTCATCACAACTAAATTATAAAACATTTTATTCTTTACTGGTATTAATCGTTTTTACCCGACTTTAGGACCTCTCTCGTTTAACTTCCTCCGAAATTGTTCCAGATGGTCACCATCCTTGGCATCTTAACGTAGGTGTTTTGCTGCTTTCTCGTCCAGCCAGGCGTCCAGCTTGTTTCACTATTTCGATTTATTTTACATTTTTAGTGGAGATGAGAATTCGTTCCAATTTGATTAGGTTCTAGGAACGAGTTCATCTGCACAATGTTGCAAACCATCTAGAAAATAATATATTCCATTAGCTATAATCCTAACTTACCTTACCTTACCTAAAATGATTAAAATTGTTTATAATCCCTGCTAAACTTCAACTGAAATGATTATGGAACTTTACATGAACGTTTAATGATAAAGTTTTAACCTTAAGTATTATAGTTTTTTGGAAGTGGACTTACAAATAATGGGTTGTTAAGAACCATTACCATTCCAAATTCTTGTTTTCTCCATACATTTTCGGAAAGAAAACTATATTAGAACGTTTTTACTTATGGTTTGAGAACATTAATGGTTATGGTTATGGTAGTCAGTAAGGTCCATGAATGGTTTTGTAACATCGATCAACTTTATGTGGAATATATCGCGAATTGATTGCCTGTAAATTACTGATTACCAATTCACGATATATTTCACGTAAAGTTGAGTGATAATACAAAACCATTAATGGACCTTACTGACTACCATAACCATAACCATTAATGTTCTCAAACCATAAGTAAAAACGTTCTAATATAGTTCTCTTTCCGAAAATGTATGGAGAAAACAAGAATTTGGAATGGTAATGGTTCTTAACAACCCATTATTTGTAAAGTCCGCTTCCAAAAAACCATAATACATAAGGTTAAAACTTTATCACACAAACGTTCATGTAAAGTTCCATAACCATTTCAGTTGAAGTTTAGCAGGGATTATAAACAATTTATAACCATTATCGGTAAGGTCATGTGATGTTTCGCGTTTATGCGGGTTATGAGATCAAACACTTACCTGCTAGATTCTCAAAATATGTCCTGATAATGCTCCTATCTCTATACAGTTCAAATAAACAGCCGTACGTCCGTAAAGAGCAACTCAGGGAAAGCAAAGCCAAACGCGCTGAAGATGAAATGAAATTCTGATACCTGTCCCCCGGTAGAAAATTCGACAATTTGGAATGCCACCGCAACAGCAGCAACCACTGATGGCGGAGAATAATTCACTGTTCTATTGGCGTTGACGGTACCGTCGAAAAATTTGCTCTTCCAGCAAATTTAGACAGTTTCTTATGGGAATTTTCGGTGAAGTGAAAGGATAGTACAAAGTCCGCCATGTTTCACGCACAGTCTGACGTTTGCTTATAGCGCCCATTACACATGTCAATATATTGACAATAAATTGACATACTGACAATATTATTGAAAAGGTGACATTGATGATGATGATTGATGACAAGTATTGACGAAAAGCTGATTTTCATTTCACTTTGTCAATACTCAGAATATATTGACAAAAAAAAAACAGTCAATTCTATCAATATCATCAATATACGAATATTGACAACATCAATGGCAATACGTTTGAAGCCTTTTAACCTCAATGTATTAAAGTCAATATTACTTGTCTTAATTTCCCCACACAAGAAACATGGATCAGCGGGCCAAAAGAGAAACGTCGTTACTGGACCTATGCACAGAAAAAAGTTTTCATATAGTTTCCATTGGGAACGCACATGATATTTTTCCAATAACAAAATTAATGATTTTTATCTGAAATTCAAATAACGTTCATACGATCACATGAATTGTATATGCCAAATCACATAAACTACTTCATTGGACACATAAGGTTCATGTGATTTTGTGATGCGATTCCCAATTATGAGATCACATGAAAGTTAAGTGAAATTCTAATGGATATTTTTCATTGGAAATGTGATTTATTTTTTGAGTGTGGAAAATACTAACTACTCACTGAATTCGGATATCCTGAGTCGGTAAAATTTTACCCGGTTTTTGAACTACTAAAAAGTCGGTAAAATTTCAAATTACCATCACTCGTAAGAAATCAATAAAATCGACACATTATCATTGAACGGTTTTAAATAGGTCCGTACAATTTCGTAATAAATTTAAAAATTGTTGAATAGAGATTGCTGACGTTTGTCGTACGTAGTGTGCGTCACGTATACGTATACGCAAAATGTTTTCATCGGGAAAAAAAAACTTCATAGCGGAAAATTTTCCCGATGAATACAAATCACTTACACAATCATACTTTAGCAATCTCTATTGGTTGGTACTAGAAATACTCAGAGGAAGAGATG